AGTATATTAATCATAGTCTTTATAATGCTAAGATGAGAAAGACATGCTAAATATCTGGCATGAGGATATTGGTTAAATGAATTACAAAACTCTCTAAACAGCTCAACATATAAGGGGCTAGGGATTTAGCTCAGTGGTTTCACCACCTGCCTTGCATGCGCAAGGTCCCAAGTTTGACCCATGGTATCAAAAAAAAAAAAATCTCAACATATGTATTAAAGATTATTAAGAATTATAGTTGAGCATGATAAATATGTGTAATAAATAAGCCTAAGTGTACAATATGATCCTAATTTTAAAAATCAATATATTAGCACAGTTTTAAATTTACAGAGAAAATTGAGCAGAAAGTGGAGTTCCTACATACCTTAATTTCTCTGCATTAATGTCATGTGCTGAACCAATTTTATGCATTATTATTAAAGTCTGTAGTTTGTATTACTTTCATTTGTTGCATATTGTGTAGTTTGAATTTTTTCAAATGTACAGTGTCATATTTCCACCATTGCAGTACCATGCACAAAGGTATTACTGCCCTAAAAATCTATACTTTACCTATTCATTTCTTCCCTTTTCCCCCATCCTTGGAAAACACTGGATCATTTACTGTTTGTAAAGTTTTGCCTTTTCTAGAAGTCATATACTTGGAATCATACAGTATGTAACATTTTCAGATTTACTTCTTTTACTTAGCATTATACACTTAATGGTTTTTGTCTTTTCGTAGCTCAGTAGCACTTTTTATTACTGAGCATACTTATCTTGTGTGGTTATACCACAGTTTGCCTACCCATTCATCTGTTGAAAGATATCTTGGTCACTTTCAAGTTTTAACAATGAATGAATGAAATTTCTATAAACATTCATATACAAGTTTTTGGGTAGCCAAAAGTTTTCGACTTATTTTCATTAATATCTGAGAACATCATTGCTAGAGAACGATTAGGTTTATTAGAAACTGCCACACTGTTCAAAAAATAGCTCTACCGGGGCTGGCGATTTAGCTCAGTTTGGTGGCCTGCCTTGCAAGCACAAGGACCTGAGTTCAATCCCGGTACCAAAAAAAAAAAAAAAAAAAAAAAGCTCTACCATTTCTCATTTCAGCAGTGAATGGGAGCTCCTGTTGCTTTACATCCTCACCACCATTTGATGATGTTCATGTTTTGGATTTTTAACCATTCCTTTAGTTATGTAGTGGCATCTCCTTGTCTTAATTTGTAATTTCCTAACGACATTTGATATTGATCATCTGTATATCTTCTTGGGTGAGATGTCTGGTCATATTTTGCTATTTGGATAATGATGGAATCATGGAATGAGTAAGGAAGTACTTCTCTTTCTGTTTTTTGTTTTTTTAAATGCAGAGTCTGCCAAAAAATGTGTACATCAGGAAAAGAAAAACTTGCATAAATATTTTAATACTAAGCTTATTGAGGCATCACAAGATTAATATGTTACCTTCAGCCTCTACAATTACAAGAGGTGCTCTTACAAAGTGGTGGCCATTCCCTTCCAGACTTTTAATTAGTACTACAAACTGCTAGTGTGTAGACTTTTTTTTTTGGTGGATTCTAATTTAAATCAAATCTCATACTCTCTTTCTTGGAAGATATTTTTATTTTCTTTTTAAAAGGGCCTATTTCAGATAGATAGATAGATAGATAGATAGATAGATAGATAGATAGATAGAGATACAGATACAGATACGCATCCATGTTTATAGCGGGACAGTTTGTAATAGCCAAAACTTGGAAACAACCCAGATGCCCATCAGCTGGAGACTGGATAAAGAAGATGTGGTTTTTCTATAAAATGGAGAGTACAACTCAGCCATAAAGAATGAGAAACTAGAGTCATTTCATAGGAAAATGGATGCATATTGAGGCCATACTCTTAAGTAAAATAAACAGGACACACGAGTAAATACTAAATAGTTTCTCTGGCGTGAAAAACTGAAATTGTTAATAAGGTTCAAATGGTATAACTGATAGTGTGAAATAAGAAAATGGCTAAAGGGGAAGTGAGAAGGAGAGGGGAAAGGAAATAAGGGAAAAGAAAAAATGTGGAAAAGGGAAAAAATGGAAACAAAGTGTTTGTAAATAGGGAAAGGTGAGAGTGGTAAAGGGAGGGCAGGGATATGGGGAAAAAGTAGGAACCAAGACATATCATGAAAAGGTACAAGATCCCAATGATAAATGTAACTTTATGTTTGCTTTAAATGTACCAATAAACTTAATGGGAAAAATTTTAACAAACAAAAAGGGCCTGTTTGTTTTTCCTTTTGTGAGATTTCGTAGCTTATGTCATGTGAGGAATATGTCTATTTCACATCAAGTTACCAAATTTATGGACACAGTTATTCACAATAAAAAGAATAACTTTGAATGTCCATAGGATCCATTTTGTGGAATGTCCATTTTGTGTTTTTTCTTTTCTTTTTTTCCTAATTAGCCTGGCCAAATATTTATCAATTTTACTTATCTTTCCAAACATCTTATTTTTTTTAAAGACCTAGAATATAAGGAGGATGTATAACAGATGCTAGTCATCTCTTGATGATGGATTGTGAATAGTTTTTTCCTTTTTCCTTTTCAATATAGTTAATAAGTTTTTGATATAGTTAATGTGAAAAATTATTTTGATTTACATTGTCTATTGTTAAACATCTTTCTGAATCCAAATCAGCATACTTAGTACCATTGTTCCATGATCTTTATGAAGAATCTAGCTTAGTATCCTTTTTTATCTTTCATTGGAATTATCCTTGAGAACTGTAAATTTGTGGCCTATGCATAAAAGACACTAAAAATAATTTTCCAAAGAAGTGAGATTATTTAGAAGAAAAATGCAAAGAATGCCTTTTGGAATTAAGTGTTCTATACATTTTTACTTTTTACTGCAGTTTAAGATGCAGTTATTACTCTCGTTTTATAAATGAGGATAATGAAACCAAGGAATTGCTGAAACCACATATAGTATGTAGAAAAGCCCATGTTTCAGTATCAAGGTTCTTAGATTTCAGTCTGTTAACTTTCTGAGTTAAATAAAATGATTGGAGCCAGATTTTAACTACAAGAGTGTATAGCCATGATGGTAAATTTGACTTTTGTGAGTCATCTGCTATCAGCTTTCATTATGACATTGCCTTTTTATTAGTCAGGCTATTTCTAGGCACATTATTTAACCCGTTTTGAGCTTATGTATATAACAACATGCCTCAACATTTTTTAAAAAGGATAATATTTTTAGAGATAAATGTGATTCATTATCAGTTTTTTTTGAGAAATAAAATGTGAATTTTTAATTACATGGAAAGATCATTTGAGAATAGGAGAAACCTGGTCTGTCATTGGTTTTTCAAAATTTACTTTGCCGTACAGGGAAAAAGTGTCCCAACATCATTTATATGGACTGAAGAAGCAAAAATTTCTGTACAAGGGATAATGTATTTATTAAATATTTGTAAGCAAAGCTATATGTTTTTTAACTGAACAAAATTTAACAGCCTCTATTCAGTGATGTATTCGGTGACATTTATTTAACTATGTAGGTATTTATTTTAATTCATGTTTTGTTAAAGAACTCTTACTGAAATTACTAAGTGACATAATCTCAGTATACCTTGATCTTTATCTTATAACTAGTAATTGCCATAATTGACCTAAAATTACTGTCCTGTGTCACATATTTATCACTGAAACGTAACTAAACTTTACAACAAATTTTTAAAATATCCCTTACTCAGGTCTGCCAGGTATTTTTCAAAATTTCAAAACTGCATTTCTTTCACTAGGCCATGATTTACAAAAAAAAAAACAACGTAAGATTTCCTTGACTTATCAAAATTGTCTAGGCATATGAATCATGTTTTTGCTACATTGTTGCATAAGAACTCTAAAATCTGGCATACTTACAGGTGATCATAGTCAGCTGATCTCTTTAGGCGGTGGTTGGGGTTCATATCTTCTCCACGTGATTATTGTTTCCAGACTGATGGAGTTGTGGCTATCTGGGACAAGTTCTCATGTTGGGTGGTGGAAGAAAAAGAGAATCAGGGAGTGTAGTTTAGCAGAGGAATATATTCACCTGCATTGTGTATTTCAGAAGCGTGAAGGAAAAGTTTTGTGGCACACCAATTTTTTTCAAATCAAAGTGTATGATAATGATTTGCGGTGTTTGAGGTTCTGAATATGAATTTATTTGGGGAAATATTGGATCAACATTTTCCTGGAGGGGTAATTTGAAAAGCAGTGTCTACCAAGTTTAGTTAAAATGACAGTATTGTTATACATTCATAAAATTTATTTTAATAGAAAATGCTTTTGTTTTCCAGAAGCTTTCTAATACATTACAACGGTTAAATAATGAAGAATCATCTTCTGAAAAAAAATCTATCCTTTGTATTGAATAATATATCTTATTTGTTTACCAGATTTTTACTCTTAACTCTTATAGTTGTATAATAGTTTTTGAAAATGTAATAAAAATCTGATTTGATTTTTGATCTATAAATTACTACTCGTTTTTATAGGTGTCTTTCTATTTTGTCAAATCTGTGGATCTTGCCTGGTGTTTTCTTTCACTTTTCTGTTTTACGTTGTCTTTTATGATGTGCGAATTTATTACTTTCCTTCCCATATCATTTTCTTTGTTCTGATTTCCTTCATTGTGAAATAAAAATAAAATTACTGAACAGATGATAAATTGAATATTCCAGAAAGTTAGGTGATACTTTACAACCTTGTTGTTGGAAAATTGTTAAATTTGACCAGCTCATTGTTCTTGCTGCTTTGTCTCATACCAGTGCAAAATTACAGTACTCTTCTTGTAGCTTTCTCTCTTTTTCTTCTTTCTAGATGTCATTAGCTTAATTTAAAAGTAGGCTCCACCCCTTACTGTTAGTAGTTAGTTTTTTATTTTCTTTTACCATTGCTATGGAAATTTTTATTAGTTATAAATAAAGTTAGTGTATTTAATGAATATTTTTCCCTCTTTTAAAGACTGTGAACCAGAAGAGCTGACTGACTGGTCTATGGATGAAAAATGTTCATTTTGTAACCTCCAGAGAGAAGCAGTCAGTGTAAGTTTTAGTGCTGTGAAATTATTTTTAAACTAATTGCACAATTGTAACTGAATTCTCTTTTTAACTTACTTTGTCCTGAAAATGTGTGACTCACAGTGAAACTTTAAATACTGATTTTGCTAAGTAAGAATAATATATCAGAGTTTATACTGAAAGTCCAACATTTAGTCTTTTAATTTGCAGGTGAAAACCCCTAGAATATTCATCTTTTTTGCTTATTTCATAATTATTTTTTATTCCCTGACTCATGAATTTACTTGAGGTCATTTTGGTATTTAGGTATACAGAGTAAGATTGGAGACCTAGCTTAGGCTAGAACACCCTACAGTCTGATTTCTTAGGAATCTCTAGTAAGGAGATGATGTGCTACTATTTTTTCGCCTTTCACTTACTCTTGACATCTTTTAGCTTTCATAAATATTTCCTGTGTAAATGATGAAATATAGTAAATACCTAGGGGATAAGGATATAAAGTATACACAGCCAGAATCTTGTTTGGTAGGATACCCTGATGTCTTATCCACTGTTGTGAGAAGAAATGAGAACTTGAGAATCTGTACTGATTTAGTTCAGATTAGTGGGTAAATATATCTGCTTTGTTGCTAAAACTCTGATAGGATTGCAGTACTACCATACTATATAATGAATTTATTTGGCCCTGTATTTTATGTTTCAACTGCTCTTCCTTTTTTTTTTTCATTGTAATTTTGCTAAAAATCAAGGCATTTGGACCTTCTTTCTGAGATTTTTTTTTTAATGTTCATTTGATATAATTTGGAATAATTTAAAAGGTAGAAAAATGACAATTTAGAGATTTGATTTAGAAAATTAATTTTGATTAAATAAAAAGTAATTTGATGATTTTTTTATAATTTTAGGATTGTATACCATCCCTTGATTCTTCACAGTCAACACCAACAGAGGAGTTATCATCTCAGGGCCAGTCCAACACTGATAAGATTGAATGCCAAGCTGAAAATTACCTAAATGCACTCTTTCGAAAGAAAGGTAATACACTGATATACTTTGTTGTTTAAATTTTGCAATAGAGACTTTCAATATTTGAACTTTTTCTTAGACAAGGCCCTTGTATATATATATCAGTTGGATTTTTTAATATGTCAGTCCCTACTGTATTCTTAATTCATTCTGTACCTATACTTTTTGGTCGTATTTTTAGGAGCAGTAGAATTCCAAATCATTGTAGTGCTAGTCTTGTATTTAGGTATTCCTTTTTAGCATTTTGTCCTCAAATCTCTTTCTGTCTTCATCATATTTTCCAACTTACTATAGGTAGTTTTTCAAATATTTTTGTGCTTCTGGATTTTCTTATTTTATTGCTATTCTCAAGGCTTCAAGAGTGGAATGTTCAATTACAGGTGTATTATATTACAAAATTTCCCTACAGTTAGTATCAGCCATGTTGGAGTATGTTTGCTGGCACACTGTTGCAGTAATTTGTTAGCTTGAATATGCTTTCTTGACATTAAGTTAATTTTTTTACTTATCTATTTAAACTGTTGAAACCAAATTCACGTTGTTTTACTTGTTCTCTTGACAATACATCCATCACACAAAAGTGGTTTTTATAGTTAGTGTTACTTTATTATTTCTAGTGGTATTTTACTAATTTGGGAAAAATACAGAATCTTCCACTTTTTTATTTTAGCCATTCCTATAGTAGTACAATATCCTCTTTTGGTTTTTTTTTTTACCCTAGGGATCTTTGGAGTAAGATATGGTGTCTGATGGGCAGCATAGTTCTATCCCTTGGTTTCTTGAGATTAAAGAAAACTATTTTCTCTTATAGGTGGTGGCTCTTTTTATCCTATAAAATTAGATGCCATCAGATATTTTATATTAAATTGATAACTTTCATGTTGTAATAAATAATGTTGAAAATATTCTTCACCTTTGAGAATCATTTCTTTAGTGTTAAGGAATATGAGTTCTTTCATGTGTTGAAATACATGAGTCCTCTGAATAGAATCATTAGTATAATTCAAAGGCCTGAAGTTAAGTATTTTTTAAGTGCAAGAGACTATAAACTTTTTCGTATGTTACTAAAGTACTTGGTGTTGGAGAATTTGTAATATCTTTAGAAAACAAATTATTTTCTTCAAAAATTTCAATTTGAACCAATATTAAAAACATGTTGCACAGTTTAGGATTTTAGAACATTAAGTTAGGAAAGTTTTATTCTGTCACTATATTTTTCAGACTTATATCACTAAGTAAACTGGAGGAAATACATTTACACATATGTACATACTAAGTTTCACTTACCTTGGAACTCATCCTTCCATCTCCTTTTCCTTTGATTTGTTTTTAATAGTAGTAACTAGAATTATCAATAATAATTACCTTCAATTTTTGATAGTATGGAGTTAGCCTGTGCGCCGTTTCCCTGTTAAGAGTAATCAGTAAAAACTTGGTACTATTTCAGCTGATTCAAGCATCTGAGTGTCCAAGAGATCTCCTACCAATGGTTGGGTGAGTGTTGTTGGATATTTAGTGACCTCTCCCTTTGAAGATTTCTTGGTTTTCTTGATGATCCTTTGAAGATTGAAGAGTTTTTAAATTAAAGATTCCTTGATGTTTTTATTTTATTTCAGGGCCTTGTTCATTCTTTTATTTGTAGTTCATTTTTACTTTCTAGATTTAGTTAAACATAATGAGTTTTCTATTAGGTTACATGGAGTTTTCATGCACATGTTTGCACATGCGTGTGTGCTTGAATGTGATATTGAGGATTAAACTCAGGGATTCTTGCATGCTAGGCAAGCACTTTATTATTGACCCATATCCCCAGGCCTTTACCTTTTTAATATTGTTGGTTTTTTGGTGGATTTTTTGTTTTGTTTTGGGTTTTGTTTTTGTTTTGTTTTTTGTTTTTATAAAATCGTTGTAGAGATTTCCAATATGGTCTGACCAGGACCAGGCTAGAAGATAATAACACTGTCATTCAAATGGTCTTAACTCCATTACCTGGTTTGTTTATTGTTTATCTTTTGAGTTCTACTCAAATTCTGTTCCACTCTACTTTGATATAAAAGGCAAGAAATATATTTTTAAAGACAAAATACTCCTGAATCTTTAGAGTATCAGATAAAATATTAAGCATCTTGTTAATGAGGTTTTGTTTAAGATTTCCCCACATTAATTCATTATTAGAAATTTTGGATAAATAAATCTTGTGATACCCTATTATAGCTTGTTTATTGTGTTTCCAAACTTGTTTTTTGAGATTGTGCTGATGGTTAGTATAAGCCATTGTTATTGAGAATGTTCCTACCTGGAATAATGATAATGATTGATATCACTAATTATGGTTAAGCACTAAGACCTTTTTTATGCTTTATCTCATTTAGCTCTAAAACAATATTTAGAGGTAGGCATTGTTTTACTATCTTATTAACTGGTAGAGGCTATGATGTTTAGTGAAATTAAATACTGTGGCATGTCTTCTAATTCTGTCTTATAAACATTTCAAGAAGAAATTAAGATGAAAAGTGTTCTATATAAGAAGAACCAATTTTTTTAAAAATACTAAATAGATAACAGTTCCTATTCTCCACTATGTAGCAGCCTAGAATAGGGATTGTTTTATTTGGATTAGGCAGAATAGAAAGAAATTGTGAGACAACTTGTACATTTCCCATGACCTTTTTTTTTCCTTTACTTGAGCTGCTATATTTTTCTCTTTTTAGTGATTAGAACTTGTATAGTAGTATTTAATAACAGAATTTAGGCGTGTCCCCAGCCTTAACCTTTGGGATGGTGAAAGTTTAGAGACAACTCAGACAATCCATTATCCATTGTAATTATTTAAAAAAAAAATACTCTTTCAGGGCTGAATATATAAAATGGGAGTAAGGTTCTGTGAAATTTTAACTACATTTGTATATTCTGTACTTCAGGAAATGTTTCAAGATTTATTCCTTTCAGGGTTTAACCCTATAATAACTAAGAGTACTAAAATAGAATGAAATCTCTATGATAATAAGGATTTTGCTTTGTTTATTGTGGAGTCCTCAGTATCTAGGACAATATGTGTCCTCAGTAAATATTTTGTGAATGAATTAATTATTTCTAAGATAATCTATATCTAAGTTATCTTTCTGTTTTTCTAAATATTGAATGAATTAGTACTAAGATAAACTACAATTATCTCTCAGGTTCTCCAACTATTCAGGGTTATAAGTATTTCATGCTTTTTTAAAAAGTGAGTTATTTAGCCTTTACATGCAGTATACTTCTCTTACATTGTATTTAAGGATTATTGTATTAGTATAAACATCACTCAGTGTGTTTTGAATATGGATGAGCATAGGCTTATGAATATAAAATGCCTTGTACAGAGTTATCTCCATGAAATGCAAACTAGTTTATTTGACTTTTAGCTTTGCCTTTTCTTTCACCTGAAGTATGTAAGTAACTGATTTGTGATTCAGGGAGATGTCTCATTTTTATTTTTAAATTAAAGCTACTGGCCTTGACTCAATTGAACAGATATATATACTGAATATATAATAAAGTGAAATTGTTCTTTGTCAAAATGTTTTTCCTGCTTTATGTTTTACTTTTGTTTACCTTTAGCGATCAAGTAGCTACTATTCTGAGAAGGTATCATGTTTTGTTTTGTTTCCCCCCAAAATTGATGGATTTGATGCAGTTATTTGAAAACTCTTATTAATCAACCTTTTCCCTTTAAATCGATAGCTTGTATGTAAAGCTTTCCATCCCTTTTCTGAACACAAATTTTTTTTTCTCTTCAAACACTTAATGTTTAAACATTACGATATAGAATTAAGTAAATGTTAATTCAGTTCATTGACCAACTGTTTTGTGACTGATGAAATATTTATTAGAAGTGGACGGTGTCAATTTTTTATTGCTTTTTTCTAAATACAGATACAATAAATGTCTGTATAAATTTGATAAGATTCCTTCAGGCTTTAATGTCCCCTTCTGCATTTGTTTGTTCATAATATCACTATGATCATACTTTGAATTTCCCTTTTGTGGGTGTCCCTTTTATAAATCTTGGAACTGTGCATTTGTGCAATTAAAATAATTCACATACAGTTATGGATTGAGTTCAACAATATTAATGAAAAAACTTTTCAAGTTGTTTTACCTTGTACTTGTAGGATACTAATCAAATACTAAGAATACAATTGAGAATAAAATTGGATTTAAGACTTTTTGTATTTCTCATAAGATCACCCTTTCACTTGCCGTGCCAGCCAGGAGAAATTAAAAAGGATTAAAGGAAAACTTCGAAGTCTTAATTATCATTCAATTTCTTACATGCCTCACACTTTTTTATTCCATTGATTCAACCCATTCTCCTGCCCCTTTGCACACACCCATACCCTCTCTGCTGTGGCTGTAGGAACTTGAAGTCTTTCTTTAACAAAATCCCTGTCTCTTAATAGTCCTTAACTTTGTGCTATTATTGAAACCTAAATATTATAAAAGATTTTTCTGGGGCTGGGGATTTAACTCAGTAGTTCTGGTGCCTGCCTTGCAAGCACAAGGACGTGAGTTCAATCCCCAGTACCAAAAAAAACTTCCAAAAAACAAAAGATATTTCTGTATGCATCTCACTTGCTGGTTGTTTTTAATTCCTTATGATAAAACTGGCAGGCACCTTCTAAGATCTTTATAGGGGCTTCATAGTCATTAATTTGTCCTCCTCACTCAAAACCCTGAGCTCCTTCAATATTGCCATGTTGCAGACCTCTAACCAGCCTTTTTGCTTTCTTCCTCTAGATATATTCTCATCAGAGTTCAGGGTGACTTTAAATTCTGTATAGCTGTTACATCTAACACCTGGTCTTTCATTACTTGTCTTCTTTGTAGCCAATGTTTTCCTCTGTTATACGCCTACCACCTTTCCCTTGATCATCCTTACATCTTTACTCCTTCCTACATCTAATTTTGCCCAGCTTTTTCTGACCACTGTTATAGTTCAATACTTCCATTCATTTTTTTTCTTCATT